AAGGGTCCATCAGGGCCGTTGTTGATGGTGGTGTCGATGTCCGAGGAGGAGTAAGCTGTGCCCTCTGGATCCAGCTGATATGGAAAATGGAGGGTAGTAGAAAAAGAAGAGAAAGCAAAAGAACTACAAGGCATGGAAGTGTTTAGAAAAAAGAGGGAGAAGAAAGGGAAGAAGGCAGCATCCTGACACAGCCCTTTCCTTCAGCTTCCCCTTTCCCTGTGGTCCAAGGTAGAAATGGGAAACAAGTCCTGTTGCAGTGAGAGGGCAGCTGCTGCCTGCCAGTCTCTGTCTTTACCTGGGTCCCGATCTGAGCTGGGCATGGGAAGCAGGAAGCAGCCATGGGGACAGGAGACCTTCCTCAGAAGGGGCGAGTGTTCAAGCCCCTGAACCATTGGGGAGGGGGGTCTGTGCCCCACCTTTGTTGCACCCCAAGTTTTCTCCTACTGGCCCCCGACTGTGCCTGTCTTAGGTTGCCCCACCCTGTGGAGTCTTACCCGTCGTTGACTACCAGCCATCTCTGGGCCAAGTAGGGTGATGTGAGGTTCAGTTTTGTCTCCTTGATAGCCTATGTCCCTCTGGCCTCCATGCCCAGCAACTGCCTTTGGATTCCCTCGCCTGCTGGCGGGGCTCTGGCATTGATCATAGGGAACTCAGGTTTCTTCTCTAGAGAGGGCCCAGCTTACGCCATTGGGCCAGACCAACAAAGACAATCAAACCAACAACTTGAGGACAGCTGAAATCCCTTGACTGAAGAGGCTGGCAACCTTCTACAGGAATGGGGCTCCTTCTGCGCTCCATCCACTATGTTTATAGCTATGCTCACTATCATTGCTTGCCACTCTTCTTCCGAGACTTAAATGGCCCAATCTGAGAGGTGGCCACTGATTTGCATGCGTGATCATTTAAAAAATAAAAAAGGGGGAATTTGCCGGAAGCCGGTCCATCCTTGCTGCTTGACACAGTCGCTGCAGGAAAGAAACATCTGCACAGCATATGTTTCAAGGGACCTGGCGTATATAGCATACTGTTCTTAATATGTTTGCTCCCCTTAGCGCTATGTGTTTTAACCAAGGTCACCTCTCCAAGAAAGGTTGTTTCCCCAGGTAGGAATTTTTCCCTGAAGTCAGGGAGGGGATGAAACTCCTTAACTAAGTGCCAGGCGGGTAGTTAATCACTACAAACAATCATGCTTAAGCTACATAATCTTTACTCCCTGGAATGGAGATAAGAAACGCCCTAACCTTTGTAACAGAAATTGACAGGATTAAAATCAACTGGGATAAATATGGATGTAACAAGACAGTAAACGGCAGAACCTCGCTGGAGATCCAGACCAGAACTTGGCTGGAGATCCTGGCTGGAGATCCTGGCTAGGCTGCTGATCAACTGAACACTGTCTCCGTGTCCTTCCTTCTTTGCCGACTCCGTCCACACCTTTGGGGACCCCTGGACCTGCTGGGGTTGGACCCCGGCAGTTTCTTCACCTGACTTCTAGGACATCCATTACACAGAGTCTTCCCTATTTTAGTCATTGACATCTTTATCCTTCTAGTTATTCAAGCTAAAAATCTTGGAATTATTCTTTACCTCTCTCTCTCTTGCAGCCCACATGCACTCTGTCAGTGCATCCTAACGCTTCAATATTAAAATTATATTCTGAATTTAAGTCCAAACATTTTTATTATGTAAGAAATTGGTATCACTATTGATCATTTCCATTTACTTTTTAATAAATTATCTTTTTAAAAATATATTAGCTTTTTAGAACCCACAAATACTTTTTCTTACCATATTTGAAAATATGGTTAATTTAATCTTCAAAAGGAGTATTTTTTAACAAACTCAAAGACAACCACACACATACATATACCCTCCTCACCTTTACTGCTACCATCATTGTTTGAGCCACCACAATTTCTACTAGCATTATTATAATAACCTGTAAACTGGTCTTCCTACTTTTACCCTACAGATTATTCTCAGCATAACAGCCAGGATGATCCTCTTAAAAAAGAAGTCAGATCCTGCCATTCCTCTACTCGAACCTTATAATTTGCTCCCTTTTTCTTAGAATAAAATCCAACATTCTTCCAGTGGCCTGCAAAGACATCTTACAACACCCCTCTGACTATATCTCCTACTATTCTTCTCTTACCTATTTGTTCCATCCATATTGGCCTGCTTGAATTCCCTCTGCCTGACCACTCTTCCACCACAGTCTTCATGGCTGATCTCCCCCATTTCTTTCAAGACTTTGCTCAAATGTAACCTTTTCAGTGAGTTATCCCTAACCATCCAATTTAAATTGAAAACTCCCCATGCACTCCTAATCTTCCTTGTACTACTATTTTTTTAAAGGAGTACTTACTATATTTTAACATACTTATGTAATTTACTTATTTATTTTAGTTGTTATTTGACTGCCTCCTCCCACAAGAATATAAATTTGACAAGGGCAAGATGTTTATTTTGTTCACTGTTATACCCCCAGTACCTGGGAAAAATAGTGCTGGGAACATTGGGAGGACTCAAATATTTGTTGAATGAATGATATCAAGAGTTTTAAAATGGAAGAAAACAGGAATGGAACAAAGACATACTGGGAATAAACAAGGCAAAACTTGCTTTGAACTTCACACAGTGTTTATTATGTTCTTTCAGGTGAACTCAGTCTTTTGGGTGATAGATGAATCTAGTAGATTTGAGAAGGCCAAAGATGGGGAAATCCCACCACCGCATTTCCTGTAGGCCCACATGCCTGGGACTTACAAGCAAGTCAGCATGAGCATAGGCCTGAAAACCTGTGCATACATTCTTTTTCCTTCTAACCAAACTCCATTTTTAAAAAATGATACTATTTCTAGGATTTTATTTAGTGTATTTAATCTTTTAAATTGCTTAGCCAGTGAGGTGAGAAGAGGTTAGAGGTTTTGAAGAGTCTAAAGAGTAGAGATGAGATGGGTTTTTATAAAAGTGGATGCACTTTATGATAATTTAAAATGTTTCATTGAGTAATATATATGTGTATACACACACACACAGAAAAATACACATAAGTATATAGGTTAGTGAATTTTCACAAACTGAATATCAATGTAATCAATATCCAGAACCAAAAACAGAACCTAAGTAGCATCCCAGGTTCTTCCTTGTGCCTCTTCTCTTCCAGTTACTACGTCCCACTAAGAATAACCACTGTTCTGACATCTAAGGCCATAGATGTGTTTGTCTGGTTTTGTACTCCATGTAAATTAAATCATGTAGTATATGCACATGTGTGTCTTTTAATCATAATTTTGTTTATGAGATTTATCCACATTTGTTATGTGTCCTTAGAGGTTATTGCTTTTAATATTATAAAAAAAAATCCGTTGTATAATATACCACAATTTATCCATTCTACTTTTGATAGGTGATTGGATGACTTACAGTTTGGGGCGGTTATGAATAGAGCTACTATCTAATACATTCAATTAATGTATTTTGATGTATATATGCATGAATTTCCTAGGACACTCAAATTTTTTTTTATCCAGTCAGTGAACTCTGAGTATTCTTCAGCATGTTGTCAATATATTCACTATGTGTACTTCACTCAGATGAGAGTTACAGTTGCAGGTATTGTTACAAATCCTTCCCTTCTTAGTGCTGTCACTAGACTTTGTCTATACTTAAGATTCTTAACATGTATTCTGATTAAGTATACATATTCATATCTTTTATTAGATTGTGAATGCTTCTCAGTACTTTGTTTTGCTTGCTTGTGTATCCCAGCATCTGGTACAGTACCTGAAATGCAGTAAGCTGGTTGAATGAATGGTGATAACCATCGTCATTGCCAGCAGTTAACACAGCAAGTCCCCTTAGTTATGTGAACCATCTAGCTTGGGTAAAGTCTTGCTTTAGTTTGACATCTCAGGGTCAAAGGGTTAGGAATGGGAAGTGATCACTCTCTGAGAAGCCCAACACTAAGGGCTCAGAACTGAACACGCTGTGTGGTTAGAGGGAATTGCTGTGGCTTTACAAGCCTCTTGGAGATTTAATGTGTTAACAGCAGTGATTCCAAGGGATAGTGTGGGGGCCAGATATAAATAGCAGAACACAAATGGGGCAATGTGCCACTGCCAAGCTACTGCTGGGGGTGTTTATAAAAAGAAAAGCATTCCCTTCTCAGCTCTCACTGTCAACAACCTCCCATTCTGAAGACACGCTCACAACAGAGAGTGGGGAAACAGTTTGAGACCTAGCATCATTTAAATCTCCACAAGCAGAAAAGCCAGGTAAACATTTTTACTTATTTACACTCAGATTACAGCAGTGAAGAATTTAAAACTAAAACAACACCTGGTTTCCTAGCTTTCTTGGCACATACTGCTTTGTGACAGTTATTTGCCAAGTCTTATAGACCGAATCTTTTTTGGAAAGGGAAGTTTAACACAAAAGTGGCATGTTTGATATTATATTTTAATATCTTTAGTGAAACAGATAGCTCCTAAATAAAGGCAGGGACCTAGGGCCAAAGGGAAGACTATCTTCTTTTCTCTGCCTTCATCCCCATATTCAGATGCCAGGATATGGTGATGGGTACAATAAAATAGAGACTTTAGTTCAGTTCTGTAATGTTAAGTGTATTGTAAGTATGTGGCAGGAACTGTAGACCACCTTTAATGGGTCATTTATTGACTCTGGAACAGCTTCAGCCCTTAGGGCCACTTGCCCTCCTACTTACCCCTTTAGTCTCGTAAACACTGTGATGAATATTGGGCATTCAGCCAGCAGAGTTGTATAATCTTATTAGAATTGCTGCCTACCCAGTTCCTTCCTATTCTCATTCCTGCCTTCAGAAAGTTATGCAAGACACTTTATCCGTGGGCTTCTCTTGAATGTGAATATTGGGGAGAAGGAGGTACCCTAGGATAACCTTCTGCTTTGTACCACTACTGGCTTTATCATCTCCATTATCCCCAAATGGGGGTGACTTGACTTGCAAAGAGGATAGAAGAGTGGATGATGTGCATGGTCTCTAACTCCTGGAGAATTCTTAGAAACTGGGAGTTGGGAGACCAATTTTGAAACGTTTTTGTTTTTGTTTTTGTTGCTGTTAATTTCCTGAGTATGCTGAGGAGAGATGTATTGATAGCCAGAAAATATGAGCACCAGTGACTATGGTGGGAGAGACCACATATCTAGAGAAGAATGGAAATGGATAGATTTAATCTTGAGCAAATTGCTGAAGTTCTCTGAGTTTTTGTTTCCGCATCTGTAGAGTGCGGGTGTTAGATGAGCAGACAAAATCCAGGCCCTTCCAGCAATTGGAATTTATTGGTAATCACTTCCTGACCATCATGATACCTACTTCCACCCAAATGAAAATGTGTATAGTGGATAGTGCTCTACTTTGGTAAGTCTCTTTTTTTAAAGTCTATTAATTTGGAATTTCTTCATTTTAATTTAGAAGAGAAAAATGAAGACAGGACATTTTAAAATGGTCACCATGCTGCTGTCAGCTGTGATTCTAATGAATGTCTTCCAGGTAATATTGGAAATGGGAAGTACGTGGTCATTGGGCTAGGAACTCTTGATTTAACATTACCTAAGGCATCTGTGTGGTTCATAATGCAAATGAGAGCAGATAGAATATATAAATCAGTTTTTCAAGAAGCTTTCATATTTTCATTTTACATACTTGGTACATGTTAATTATAGAGGTTTGAAAAAATTAAAGTTAAGCAAAAAGAGGAGAGTAAAAATCATCCACAATCTCTCTACTCAGAGGGGAAAGACTCTTAATTTGTTGGTGTATAGTCTTGACTTCTCTCTCTCTCTCTATTTAATTTACAAAATGGGTTCATACAATACATATGTTTTTTGCCTTTTTAAGTTAATACTGTGCTATAAATGTCTCTCTGGATCACTAAATATTCTGGAAATATGTATTTTTTTTCCAAATAAGATGACACTGCAGTATTTGGTTACATGTTTTCTATTAAATTACTATATAATGACCATTTTCTCACATGCATTATTTTTTTTTCTGGTAGAACTTTTATCATTTTATTTTTTGAAGTTGAATCTTTACACATTCTGTAACATATTTTTTAATATATCTTTATTGATTTCAGAGAGGAAGGGAGAGGGAGAGAGAGAAACATCAGCGATGAGAGAAAATCATTGATTGGCTGCCTCCTGCACGCCCCCTACTGGGGATTGAGCCCACAACCCGGGCATGTGTCCTTGACTGGAATCGAACCTGGGACTCTTCAGTCCCCAGGCCGATGCTCTAGCCACTGAGCTAAACCAGCTAGGGCTCTATAACATATTTTTATGTAAAATTTGAACCAGTTATCTCACTTAATCCCCTCCCCCCACATTGTTAGCTGTCATGTCACCACTGATTATTTGTCCATTGACTTGAGGTACCTCCTTTAAAATATCTTGAATTCTTAAAAAATTATCTATTTTTTAATTTAATATTCTGATCCATTTTCTATAGAACGATTATGTATTCTGTTGCCTGTACTGTAGTGTGACTTTTAATTGAGATATAATTCACATATAAAAATTCGCAATTCAGTGGTTTTTGTAGATTCACCATGTTGTGCATAGTTTCACTATTGTCTCATTATAGACCTTCCATCAACCTAAAAAGAAGCCCTATGGCTATTAGCAGTCAGTTCCAATTCCTACTTCCCTGCATCCCCTGGCTATCCCACCTGTCTGCTTTCTGTGTCTATGGATTTGCCTATCTTGACATTCTGGACATTTCATCTGAATGGAATCAAGCAATACCCGTCCTTTTGTATGGCCTCTTTCATTGAGCATAATGTTTTTAAGGTTCATCTATATTGTAGCATATGTTAGTACTGCATTCTTCTCATACCTGAATAATATTCCATTGTATGGTTATTCCACATTTTGTTTATCCATGAAGCAATTTATGGACATTTGGGTTGTTCCCACTTTTTGTTCCTATGAATGAGTACTGCTGCTATGAACTTTCATGTATGTGTTTTTGTGTGAACATATATTTTTAATTATCTTGTGTATATACCTAGGAGTAGCATTGCTGGGTCATATGGTAACTCTATGTGTAACATTTTGAGGAACTGCTTAACTGTTTTCCACAGTGGCTGCATCTTACATTCCCATCAGCAGTGTATGAGGCCTCAGTTTCTCTACATCCTTGCCAACACTTAATTTCCTTTTTTTCTTATTAAAATAGCCACCCTAAATTATATGAAGTAGTATCTCACTGTGGTTTTGATTTACATTTTTAATATTCTTTTGCAACAAAAGTTTAAAGTGTTTTTCTATGCATTTGTATGATTTCTTTTCTGAACACTTAGATCATTTCTACATTTTTGTAATAAATTTTTGGTAATTTAATTTCATCAGTATTGGCCTTTGTTTCAATTGATAAATCAGAGGAAGAAAATATATAACCAGTGTGTTCACCTAGCCTTTTGTACCTGTCCCTTTAATGTCCATCCAGTGGTCCTTGAACAGTGGTGGCATTTGTGAACTTTTTCACTGTTCCAGGCACTCACTGTACAGAACACACAATCAACTGTGGCCTTGATCCAGAAAGAGTTGATGTCTAAAATTAGACTGGTGGAGACTGGTTAGAGGCATAGAACAGACAGGAACACATTGGATCAACTCTGATGTGATGCCGAGGAATGTGGGAGGTGGTAGTTTCAGGGTATGATGTCTTGTAATATGTTGAAGTCTTAAAGATAAATCAGGCATTGGTGCCCAGGATATCCTCTGGTACATTCTGTGCTGCAGAGGAAAGTGAATTTCTTGGCTAGGAGACAGCAGTGATTTAGTCTCCTGAGCTCAAATTCTCACTTCAAGAAACTGACCTACAGACCAGGAGTACAGGGGGTTTTCACAGAAGAATATTCTGTGGCTGGTAATCAAGAAAAATAGTTTCTGCCCTGACTGGTTTGGCCCAGTGGATAGAGCGTCAGCCTGTGGACTGAAAGGTCCCAGGTTCGATTCCGGTCAAGGGCATGTACCTTGGTTGCGGGCACATCCCTAGTAGGAGGTGTGCAGGAGGCAGCTGATCGATGTTTCTCTCTCATCGATGTTTCTAACTCTCTATCTCTCTCCTTTCCTCTCTGTAAAAAATCAATAAAAGATTTTTTTTAAAAAATGAAAAAGAAAAATAGTTTCTGATGCTGGTATTATAATTGTTTCATTTGTAAAATGATGTTATGAATTGACCTTTCAGCCCTTCATATGGGTTGTTATGAGAACAAAATTAAACCCTTTTAGAAGTGCTACATAAATTCCAATGGTCTTCATCACTGGAAATAACATTTTAATTAAGGGGACAGACTCTGGAACTAGATTGCTCAGGTTCAAATTTCAGTTCCAGACAAGTTACTCAATCTGTGTCTATAAAGTCTCCAACTAAGATCTCCAACTGAGAGTATAGCTTATGCAACCAGTGTGCCATAAAAGTAGTATAGAATAGTGGAAAGAGAGAATGATGTGGAGGGCATTATCCTTTCATTTGTAGAAACCCTTAAATGGTATCCCTGGGCAGATTTGCTCATCCTATTTTTTTTTTAAAAAGAAATCTTTACTGTTCAGATTATTACAGTTGTTCCTCTTCTTCACCCCATAACTCCCCTCCACCCGGTTCCCACCCCATGCCCTTACCACAACCCCTACTGTCCTTATCCATGGGTGTATGATTTTTGTCCAGTCTCTTCCCACACCCCCCAAACTCCCTTCCCCTGAGAATTGTCAGTCCACTCCCTTTCTATGTCCCTGATTCTATTATATTCACCAGTTTATTCTGTTTATCAGATTTTCTATTCACTTTATTTTTAGATTCACTTGTTGATAGATAGGTATTGGTTGTCACTTAGTTGTTCATAATTTTTATCTTTACCTTTTTATTCTTCCTCCTCTTAAAGAATACCCTTCAGCATTTCATATAATTCTGGTTTGGTGGTGATGAACTCCTTTAGCCTTTTCTTATCTGTGAAGCTCTTTTTTTTATTTTTTTTTCTATTATAATCACCAGTTTATTCTGTTTATCAGATTATTTATTCCCTTGATTTTTAGATTTACTTGTTGATAGATGTGTATTTATTGTTCATAGTTTGTATCTTTACCTTTTTCTTCTTCTTCCTCTTCTTAAAGGATACCTTTCAGCATTTCATATAATACTGGTTTGGTGGTGATGAACTCCTTTAGCTTTTCCTTATCTGTGAAGCTCTTTATCTGACCTTCAATTCTCCACCCTCTGCCCTTACCCCCCCACTGTCCTCATACCTAGGTGCACAATTTTTGTCCAGTCTCTTCCGGCATCTCCCACAACCCTTTCTCCACCAAGAATAGTGAGCCCATTCCCTTTCTATGTCCCTGATTCTATTATAATCAACAGTTCATTCTGTTCATCAGATTATTTATTCACTTGATTCTTAGATTCACTTGTTGATAGATGCATATTTGTTGTTCATAATTAGTATCTTTACCTTTTTCTTCTTCTTCCTCTTCTTAAAGGATACCTTTCAGCATTTCATATAATCCTGGTTTGGTGGTGATGAACTCCTTTAGCTTTTCCTTTTTTGTGAAGCTCTTTATCTGACCTTCAATTCTGAATGATAGCTCTGCTGGGTAGAGTAATCTTGGTTGTAGGTTCTTACTATTCATCACTTTGAATATTTCTTGCCACTCCCTTCTTGCCTGCATAGTTTCTGCTGAGAAATCAGCTGACAGTTGTATGGGTACTCGCTTGTAGGTAACTAACTGTTTTTCTCTTGCTGCTTTTAAGATTCTCTCTTTGTCTTTTGCCCTTGGCATTTTAATTATGATATGTCTTGGTGTGGTCCTCTTTGGATTCCTTTTGTTTGGGGTTCTCTGCACTTCCTGGACTTGTAAGTCTATTTCTTTCACCAGGTAGGGGAATTTTTCTGTCATTATTTCTTCAAATAGGTTTTCAATATCTTGTTCTCTCTCTTCTTCTGGCACCCCCATAATTCGGATGTTGGTATGCCTGAAGTTGTCCCACAAGCTCCCATAATCACCAGTTCTTCATACACTATCTTCATATTTTTGGATTCTTTTTTCATTTTGCTTTTCCGGTTGGATGTTTTTGCTTCTTCGTATTTCAAATCTTTGACTTGATTCTTGGGATCCTCTAGTCTGCTGTTGAATCTTTTTATATTCTTCTTTATTTCAGTCAGTGTATGCTTAATTCTAATTGGTCCTTTTTCATATCCTTGAGGGTCTCACTAAATTTCTCAGAGGTTTCTAGAAGATTCTTGAGTAACCTTATAACCATGGTTTTGAACTCTATATGCAGTAGTTTGCTTTCCTCCATTTCTTTCATTTGTGACATGTTTCTTTGTCTCCAAATTTTGACTGCTTCCCTGTGGAGATAGAGTAGCTTTGTGTGCTAGGTGTCCTATAGGGCCCAGTGGCTCAGCCTCCCTAATTACCTGAGTTGGACAGTCTTGGTGCACCCCCTTGTGGGCTGTGTGTACAATCTTGTTGTAATTAAGCCTTGATTGCTGTTGGTATCACTGGGAGGAATTGACCTCCAGGCCAATTTGCTGTGAGGACCAGTTGTGTCTACAATGGGAGATCTTCTGTGCTGGAGACACCCTTATGGGACAGGACTTGCTTCAGTGGGGCTTTGGCGCTCACTGAGTCTGCCCCCTGAGTTTGTCTCTTATGGATGTGAAGAGTTGTACTCCAGTATGGTCTCACTCTGACCACTGGGTACATTGGCTCTTGGATCTCCAAGGAAGTGCAAAGTCAGCCACTGCCTGAGGCCACCCAGCAGGAGCTACAGAGAGATCTCCAGATCCCTCCTCTTTGTTTGGGGTTTGGAGGTGCCCAGATGAGGCCCAGCTGTGAAGCAATGCAGGCTTCTGCCAAGCCTTAGGCCTTCTTTTGGAAGCTTTGGAGTTCTCTGACCCAGCTGCAGTTTGTTAGGTTTTAGATTGCATAAGGCCAGGCCATTCATATGCAAAAGCCTCTTCGCACAGCTTGAGTGGGGTTGTAAATTGGGTGGGGTGGGGTCTCAGGGAATCACCAGGGCAGAGCAAACAGCAATGGCTGCCTGTCAGCCCTGCCCCGAAGAGGTCCCCAGGTCTCTGTGTCCCTCAGCATCGTGCAGGAACAATGATCACTGCAAGTACTTCTGAGAGAAAGCCGCCCTCGGGTTCCAGCCTGATGCCAGACAATCCAGTTTCTCCCCATATGAGTCTGGGTCCCCAGAGTCTCACCCGGAATGAATTCAGAGCAGTCGGGAGCTTGTATCTCCCTCCGATTGAAAAAGACAACAGCGCACCCAGTTGCCAGCCCATTTCCGCGCGCCTCCGTACCTCCACACCTCCTCCCAGTCTCAGTGTGCTTTTCTCTTTCCTTCTAGTTGTATAACTTCCCCTCAGCCAGCCTTCCCGTGGTTCTGGATGATATCCATTTTGTCTGTTAGTTGTAGTTTTGATGTGGTTGAGCGAGGCAGCAAGTTCAAGTGTTTACCTATGCCGCATCTTGGTTCTCTTCTACAGCATTCGCTCATCCTATTTTTTGATCAGTAGGTCAGAGTACAGGGTTTTATTTAATTCACTTCAGTGTGTAGATGCTTGGATTTCAAAAAATAAATATAATGCATATCCTATTGATTAATTTGCAGTATAATAAATATATTTTTATAATGAAATTAAAAATAATCACAGTTTGTTGAAGGCTTGACATGTGTCAGGCATGGAGCTAAGACTTTGCATTTATTCATTATATCACTTAATCCTTACAAAATAATTACAATTAACACGTTTCCTTACATTAGCCTCATGTTTAGATGAAAAGATTGAAGCTCAGAAATGCCAAATAACTTTCCCATACTTAATTAGTACCTCGTTAGTGACAGAAATGGAATTTAAACCCACACCTTTCTGACCCTAAGCTAGTGTTAATTGCATTACACCACCCTGTTTCTCTTATGTATCATCTAAAGTTGAATTAGGCCTTTTTTCAGTTATACATAGCAGAAACAATGCAAACGTGCTCAAGCATATAGGGCATTTGTTGCTTCTTATGATTAAGGTAAAATACAGTCTTCAGGTAGCTAGACCCAGGGCCTTACATAATGTTATCCGGGCTTCATCCCTTTCTTTCCACCTCAGCTCTGCAAGCCTTTCTTTATTGGTTTTATTTACAGACAGGACTTTCCATGGAACTAAAAGGATAACTATTGGCTTCCCCAAGTCAATATTATCCTTACAGCTTGTGATTGTAGAGAAAGAAAGAGTGCTCTGGTTTTTAAGCCTGATTTATTGCTTATTACTGTGTGCCGAATCAGTCCTACCCAAACCACATGGACAAGGGAGTGTCCTAAAAAGAAGAGGGGTGATATTTACTATTATGTATTTATCATATATAGTATTTCATGCATGATAATTTTATATTCACTCAACAGTTTTGAGGGGTTGAGGAAATTGGCTAATATTTTCAAAGCCAGGATTGCCACCCATTTCTTCAACTTTATACTCACTGGTTTTTTCCTCGGTACCACAAGGTTCAAATAAATGAGTTACAGGCATAATCATACCCATATCTTACCCACTAACATTTACTCTTTCACACAAATAGGTAATAGCTGAGAAAAGTTATCAATAGCAATGGAATATACTTTCTACATAAAAACATATCCAGCCCAGCCAGTGTGGCTCAGTAGTTGAGTGTTGACCTATGAACCAGGAGATCAAAGTTCAATTTCCCATCAGGGCACATGCCCAGGTTGTGAGCTTGATCCCCAGTAGGGGGCATGCAGGAGGCAGCCAATCAATGATTCTCTCTCATCTTTGATGTTTCTATTTCTCTCTCCCTCTCCCTTTCTCTCTGAAATCAATTTAAAAATTTTTTTTAAAGAAAAAATATCCAAATTTGGTTGTAAGCAAGGGATAGATTCTTGGCAGGGTATGAGAGTGTGGAGGTAGTAATGTGAGAGAAAAAGACACGCCAAATATCTTGTTTCAAGAATATTAATTTCCTTTTCTTTTGAAGGTGAAGGCTAATATGTTAGACATGGCAGATAATGCATTTGATGACGAATACCAGAAATGTACTGACAGGATGGAAATCAAATATGTCCCCCAACTGCTCAAGGAAGAAAAAGCAAGCCATCAGCTTTTTGAGGATGTGTGGGAAAATGCAAAAGCCAAATGGGAAGCTCGGAAGACTCATCTCTCTCTCCCTATGAGTTTTAAGGATAACCATGGAATAGCCCTGATGGCATATATTTCTGAAGCTCAAGAACAAACTTCCTTTTTCCATCTGTTCAATGAAGCTGTGAAGATGGCTGGCCAATCTCGAAAAGATTATATCTATGGCTTCCAATTCAAAGCTTTTCATTTTTACCTGACCAAAGCCCTGCAATTGCTGAGAAGACCTTGTGAGGATAGCTATAAAAATGTGGTGTATAGCACAAGCCAGGGTACTTCGTTTACCTTGGGAGGGCTAAACCGAGCCAGATTTGGCCATTTCACCTTGGCACATTCAGCCAAACCTCAAGCAGCAAGTGATCAACACATTCTGTTAACCATTCACACATGCTTTGGAGTTGCCATTGGAAAATTTGTTGATAAAGAAAATGAAAGTGGAAGAATTATTATTATACCTCTGAATGAGATTTTTTATGTGTCACAGGATGGGGCTAGCAATAATCTTATCCTTCGAAGCACAAACAAGACCTGCAGCCATTACGAGTGTGCATTTCTAGGAGGTATGTGTCTCTGTTCTGTCTGTGCTTGTCTGGGAGGGGAGGAGAAGCATTCTTAGGACCAGGGAGAGATTAGGGAGGAAATTAAGAGGTGTTTGAAAGAAGAAATGACATTGGTGGTCTCTAGGCTAGCTCTTTTCATACTGTTAGTTTCAACCCCCCAATTCCCCCCCAAAATTAGTTTTATCAAACTAATACATTTGCAGTATTATTGAAAGTTAAAAAAATAAAATAGTACTATGAGGCCATCATTTTCAAATAGGAGCAGTGTGCCCTTCAGGGTCATTTGGCAAAGGCTGGAAACATTTTTAGTTGTCACACTATCCCTAGTTGCTACTACTATCTACTGAGTAGAGTCCAAGGACACACTAAACTGCATTGAACAGCCCCCCACAACAAAGACGTACCTGGGCCAAAATACTACTATAAGGCTTACAATGAAAAGTAGCAGCCCCCTTCCCACCCATTCCCATTCCCATTTGCCACTCCTTGGTGGCCTCCATTTCTTTTGTTTTTTAGCTATTTTTTTTCAGGTACTTATTGTTATGGTTCTAAGTAAATAAAATGCTTCAGCATGTTAATTCTTGATTTTTATCTGTTCGCTTCACAGTATAGAGAATGAATATTTAGCTCTCATATTCCATACATTAGTTAGGAATTCTTTATTGTATTCATCTTTAACAGAGAACTTACCTGATAGCTCTCTTTTAATAAGAAGTCTAGAGTAGGCTGTCCAGAGTTGGTACAGTGTCTCAACTATTTCATCAGTAACTTAGGCTCTTTCTATTTCACCAATCTTAGCATGTTGGTTTGTTGATTCATATTTACAATGTGACTGTTGTAACTGTAGACATCCATTCATGTTCAAGACAAAACAAAGGGGAAGAGGGATGGCAGCCAAATCTGCCTATTTAATCAGGAATGTAAACATTTTCCCAGAAACTCTTAGATTTCTGATTATCATTGACTGTAACAGCCACTTATAAGAAAAGCTTGGAAAGGGGGTAATTAGCATTTCCAGCCTCTATACTACAGGGAGGTAAGGGAGAAGGGAATTAGAAATAGCTGGTAGGTCAGTAAACTAAAAGTTTCTGATAATCACCACCTTCATCTTCAGTATCCGTGCATTTCCCTTTTCCCATTCTCTCTGTGTAGTAAAGACTGGTACCTTTTTAAGTACCTCTTTACCCTAGGGTTATTAGTAGTATGATTTTTTTTTTGTTTCCTTAGTTTTTTATATCCCATCAATAGTTTACCTCCAAATCCTTAGAAATATAAGTCTCTTCTCAATACATTCAGATACTCTCTCTTTTTCTTTCTTTTCTGGACATACTTCTTCTGTATTCCCCCATTATCCTGCTATATGCTGTGCTCTCTAGGCTTGTTGATTATCCTGGCATCTCTCTTTACTACTATTCTGAGACTTTCTTTTGCTTCTCCCCTATGAAGAACCCCCTTCAGCGGTTCTCAACCTGTGGGTCGCGAACAATGAAAATACATCCTGCATATCAGATATTTACATTATGATTCATAACAGTAGCAAAATTACAGTTACGAAGTAGCAACAAAAATAATTTTATGTTTGAGGGTCACCACAACATGAGGAACTGTATTAAAGAGTCGTGGCATTAGGAAGGTTGAGAACCACTGTGACCTATATCTTGGATTTCTTCTCCTTCCTTGAAGCCTCCTTTGTTTAGTGGGGTAAGGGTTCTCTGGAAATTTTCTGAGAAAAGGGACATTGAGGCAAATGTTCTAAGACTGCATGTCTGAAAAATCTACTTTTAGGCTTGAATAAAAGTATGTGTATATTGGTATTTCTGTTTCAGAAATTGTTTTCCTAGGAATTTTAAAGATCTTCCTCCATTGGCTTCTAGTTTCTGGTGCTGCTATTGAAAAGTATGAAGCTATTCTGAGTACTAAATCTGAATGAGACCTGCTTTTTTTCTCTGGAAGGTTTTATGATGTTTTCTATATCCATAACATTCTGAAATTTTATGATGTTGTGCTTTGGTGTATGTGAGTAAAGGGTTAACAAAACTCTTCCTACTTTTTTCTATGAAAATGGCCTCCAGTTGCTCTTCTAGCACTTTTTCTCTGAAATCTACTAAAGGTGGAAATGACTAATGGTAAACTGCCTAATTGTAAACATAATCTTATCTGCTGGGATTATGAATGAACTGTAAATACTTTGGGGAAAGCTATAGTATTGGGCATTCCTGAATGTATTGTGACATACCCAGGTGTTCTTGCTGAGTTGTGGAAGTACATTCATAGACTGGTATAAGAGATACTGCCTTCTGTGACAGATCTGTGGCATGAGGCTATGAAGTTAGGATAGTTCCTGCACCCATTTGTGTGCTCTTGCTTCCTTGTAACTGAGCATCATTCTGGGGGCTAATCGCCCTGGACTTCTGTAAGGACTTGCATTGAAGAGATGTATATCATGATGTTCTGTTGCTAAACATATGCCATGTTCCCTGCCTTGCATTCTTCTGCAAAGCTGGTGAGGTGATGGCCTTTTGGGGTCTTAAGAGTGTGATTATTTTTCTGAACCCAAAACCATGGCTGCTGGTCATGCAGAGTGAGTATTTCAGTAGGACCTCAGAAGTGGGATGGACATTTAGATTTGACTCCACGTGACCAAAGCACTATGAGATAAAAAAGAATAGGATGGGGAAGTGCCAATGAGACATCTTGCCTGGTTGGTGGGCTGATCCACTTATGATTTAATGACAGAAGCTATGTAGCCATTGAGGTGCCTGAGACACAAAATTTAAGGAGATCCTCAGTTTGAGGGTCGTACACTTGCAGCATCTGCATTTGCATGACCCTAAAAGTGAGTGTCTCTTCAAGTTTGCGCTCAGCATCTCATTTGCCTCACCCTAGTCCTGGCCCTTAGTTGCAAGTAAATGAGACTGTTCACCTGGAAGGGCAGATGGTGATTGGAGTAAATTTGTGTAGAAAGGAAAGATGCTCATTCTCCTTATCAACCCTACATTAGACCTGACCAAAAGCCAAGTAGGTTGAAGACAGCTCATACCAGCTTATGGGAACTGATTGTGGGCATATATGTCTTCCCATTTCCTCATACATCACAGTAGCTTGAAATTGGCCATGGTTGAGAGTTATACCATAGAAATCAGCAAATACTACAAATCAGGACCCCCTTACCCCCACTGCAGAACTTGTTCAACTTTACCAGCACATCACAGCCAGAAATCCAGTTGCATCTGGGCTGTCAAAACAATGCCACTCTTGGTGCTCCTGATGCATTTAGCCACATGCCATTTGTAGAGGCATTGGTTCTACAGAAACCCTGGCTGCAGTAGCTACAGGCCAAATAAATCACTGGTATTTGGTTGATTAACAGAGGTGGGCAATGAAGCCCACAGAATCCATGTTTGCGAATAGGATTATGATGAACAAAAAGGGTGGAACCATTGGGTGGATTCAGAATGAGCCGGGGCTCAGACCTGCATGGGCTAGTGGGTTATGAGCCCCATGTGTGGAAGGGGCAAGTGGAGGGCACACCTCTGTGGGCCAGCCCACAAGTTCAGGCAGAGGCTACACAGCAGGTTAATGTTCAAACCAGCCACAAGGGGAGACCTTTGTGGAGGCTCACATGTACTATTTGGAGAGCTCTGACAAAGTCAGGCCACTGCACTTGACTGTGTTGATTTAATTCCAAACTGAAGTCTAACCAATGTCTTCTGCTGCCATCAAGAGATAACTACTGGGAACCTAGGCTCAAATCTAGATCATTGAAGCTAAGCTTTTGAAACACTGTGAAGGACAATAACCAGGGCTTTTGTTTGTTTGTTAATAATCCTCACCCAAGGATATTTTTTCCATTGATTTTTAGAGAGAGTGGAAGGGAAGGAGGGAGGGAGGACGGGAGAAGGGAGAAGAGAGAGAGAGAGAGAGAGAGAGAGAGAGAGAGAGAGAGAGAGAGAGAGAGAGAGAAACATTGATGTGAGAGAGACACGTACATTGGGTTGATTGCCTCCTGCATGGACCCTGACCCAGGGCAGGGGTTGGAGAGTGCAACAGAGGTATGTGCCCTTGACTGGAATTGAACCCAAGACCCTTTAGTCCGCAGGCCAACGCTCTAACCATGGAGCCAAACCAGCTAGGACACCAGAGCTTTCTTAGAAATAAGCCAGGAGGGTATAATCAGAACCTTGTTCCATTGTGACTAACTATAATTTTGGATGAAAAAAGACAATATTTCTAAAAGGAATTAAAAAATTATACTGTACTAAATTTAGTGCTAACACAGTCCTGTGTTACTGTTCTGAACTTGCTTATGATTTCCAAGATAAAAATGTGTTGTGGGCCTTACAGAAACTAGTTAGCTAAAAAATAAATAAAATAAAATAAAAAATTAGTTCTGTTGGTTAGGAAGAGGAGAGAATACCAATGTCCCACTAAATAATACAATTCCTGGTGGTCAAAGATACTAAACTTGGTATTCATTCAAAATTAAGGGAGTGAATCGTGGTAACAAAAGCCTTTATCCTTCCTCATAGGAGAATGAGGTTAATTTTCTGTACCAGTGGTTGTCAACCTTTCAGACCTCACAGACCACCACTAGTCCGCAGAACACCAGTTGGCGACCACTGCTCCAAAGGTTTCCTTAAACCAGCGGTCACCAACCTTTTAGACCTCATGGACCACCAGTGGTCTGAGGACCACCGGTTGGTGACCACTGTTCTATACTGTTCTTCTAGAATATTGATAAAGGTGGAGTGGTAGCTGTGTAATTAGGCTACATTCTTTATCATTAAACATGACGCAGCTTGCTTCCCCAGAGTGAGCAAGAGAAAGCAGGAAACAGTGCCAGCAAGTCAGTCTTTTGCAACCTAACCATGGAAGTGATGTCTCAAGAGGAGAGGATTACATAAGGGTGTGAATATCAGGAGACAGGATCTTTGGGAGCCATAATCCCAGCCCATTGTAGTCTGTCACCTCCCCCAGGGAATGATCCAAATCAGCTCTCC